GTGGTTATTGGTGTGGGTATTTGCACTGTAACTGACGTCAAGGTCAATGCCAAAGGTTTTATATGCGCTACCGTGGCAGTGTTGTCAACGTCATTGCAACAAATTGTGAGCATACATTTTCTGTACTTTGTTTTATTCTGTCCATTAGTAGGTGTTTAAATGCGGCTATATCTTCCTATCTATCTCTTTTTATGCAATAATTTGAAACTCACATTTTCCATAAACAGTAGGAGAGTCATAGCCCTAAACTCATTGTCCATCCCTCCTCACCAGTTGTAAATACATATGCTATATAAGTTGCTAAATTGTGTCGTCTAATGTACTTATATATATAGCTATATCCTTCTAATCACATGTGTAAGTGCTTTTTTTTGGGTTGGATTCTTCTCCATGCCAACATGCTCTTTGGGGTAGGAAAATCTTGGTCTCACAGCTCTCACCGGGGGGTGGGGGGTGGGGTCCTTAAATTGCTAAAAATGACATAAAAACTCTTAAAATTGACGTTTACTTGGATGGAGAGAGACCAATGTTGACTTGGATGGAAGATGTTAGGAATGATATGAAAAGGTTGTGTTACAAGAGCATATAGCACTTGCAGGGAGAGGATTTTGGTTGAGAATGCTGGAGATAAAAAAATTCGGTTTAGGTAGTCTACCCCATTATTGAGATTAAGGCTCTTATATTATTGTTGTGCAATTGACATTTACTAAATATTCTACAATATATAAGAAAAGGTTGCATAAATTTAATATTGCCAACATCTCACATGCCATGAATCTTACATATAAATTTCATCCTTTAATTCTATATTACATGTCTATACTACACAAGTTCGCTTTTGACCGATAAAATCTAAGAAATATCATACATTAATATCTTTTCAATATTTATTATAGTTACTATTTCGGGTGAAAACCATAGGACCTTCGGCTGGTCCTTTTTTGGGGGGCTGAAGGCTGCTCTCGGTCCAATTGATGATTGGGCCGAGGATTTCCTGCAGAACAAACACACGTAAACTGGCCTCGGGGGTTGTGCCGAGGAAGGCCCCACCGATGCCGAAGTTAGTACAGTGTTTTTAGAGAGAGAAAGCTATGCAAGAGTATTAATTGCTTGAGGCTTTGTGTGAATGAATGTAAAGAGAGACAATTGAAGGCTTTTATACCTTTGCTCAATGGATGAATGGACCTTAGACCAAGTGGGCTTGCCACTTGGACTAGGCCTTGACTGACTTGGCATATGGATTGGAGAGTTGAGCCTTGCTTTGGGCTTCAAATTGGATCATTTGTAGACTGGCCCAATTAGGGTGAATTGGACCCAAACAGTTACTTCACAAAATATGGGCCTTCTACAATATTGTGCTGTTTATATTAGTCAGTAAGAAAGGTTCGGTTATTTGTTGTAAGGCGACTATGCCGACTAGTATGGATTAGTGTATACAGATGCACAAAAGTTCCGTCATTTCTGTAATTATCTCAAAAGAAATTGTATACACAGCAGTGGTATAGCAGTTGAGTATTAGGGTTCAATTCCTTCAAATTTTTTATGGGCTCATTAAAACACAGATTCTACTACAATAATTTGTCTTTACATGCAAAAATCTGCACTTACTGACTATCTATCTGGAGTCTGGACCTCTAAGAAAGACAGTCAGTGTTGCATGGTTGCATAAGATTGTTCCAGAGGTATGTCTTTCATTGTGTACTTTTTTTGGACTCTGAGATACATTGTTAACCAAAATTTTCGTTCTAAATATTCCGAGAAAGATAAAATCTGACATGCAGGATGATGTGTACCAAATAATTCATAATTTACTTCAAGGTCTTTGAGTAGGAAGTTGCATTAGTATTCTTTGTCTACTTTAGTGGAATCAGATTGAATGACATGACAGCATTGAGTAACTGTTTCGTGACAATTGATGATCTCAATCACTCAATGCCAATGTAGCAATAGATGGCTTGGGTGTTTGGTTTTAAATTAGTTTTTGATTTTATCTTTTTAATATTTACACAACCTTTCAGATCTAGGAAGCAAAGTTGGAAGCTGCAAGTTTGTGGTTTTGACTGTGCTTATAACCTTGCATTGGCATACATTTCTGTTTGTGTTGCAGTCAATAGGTTCTTTACAGAAGAAATATTCTATTGGATCTTTCGAGTTGCTGAGCAAAACTGCACCTTTCCAAGCTATTTCTCTTATAGTGCTTGGTCCATTTATTGATTACTATCTGAATGGAACATTCCTAATGACATACAAGATGTCTACTGGTGCCCTTGTAAGTACATACTGATCCCTGTTTTGAGGAGCACATTCTAAGCGCTTTAGATTATTTGGTACTGTATTACAATTTAATGCTTATTTTTCCTTTTCTTGCCAAATGTACTGCAGCTGTTCATTCTTCTTTCATGCTCTTTGGCGGTGTTCTGCAATGTTAGTCAGTACCTCTGTATTGGACGCTTCTCAGCCGTTTCATTCCAGGTCCTTGGTCACATGAAAACAGTGTGCGTCTTGACATTGGGCTGGCTGCTTTTTGATTCAGAGATGACTTTGAAGAACATCATGGGCATGGCAATAGCTGTTATGGGTATGGTTGTTTACAGTTGGGCTGTGGAACTTGAAAAGCAGGCTGCTGCAAAGGCAGCCCACCATGCCAAAAACAGTTTGACAGAAGAAGAAATTCGATTATTGAAGGGTGACTTGAATGTTGCCCCTATGAAGGATATTGAGCGCGGAGAAACAAAAGCGTAAGTATGATACTCTAGAAAGCAAGAATTGACAACTGTTTTTGGTTCAGTTAGATTAAGGTATTCATGTAGGCTTTATCAGCAACAAAAGTACCACGTCTCGCCTACATACATCAATGGCATGAGTTTCTACCAGATTTAGCCTGTAATTTTTTTGTTTCTTACCATATTTATTAATTAATTGTTTCTAAGATGTGGCATAATTTAAGTGTAACTTGTTTATAGACAACAGTACAATACCATTGTCATGAGAGTGCCAAGCCTAGGCTATTCTTGTTCTCTCCTCTTTCTCTGTTATCTGCTACTTAGTTTTCAAGTTTTGGTACTCAAGTAGTTTGTCTCCCATGATCTGATTTTGCGTATCGTTGGAAGGATGAATCTAGGTTCAATGTGGGGCATATACACTATATACTCCGTTTTGTTTTTTCTTTTTTCTTTGACAGATGTAATGTTTTTTCTTAATACTCCGGACTATATTAAAGAATAAAGATAGTAATTGCCAACGCTATGTTGACATGTGTACAATTGAAAAATGATGCACTCTAAAGAAAATATGAGTATATTGCCAGTATTGGTAATGTATATATACAAGATACTTAAATATACACTTGTACATAATCTAGAATAATTTATACTTTGTATATAACCTTTTAAACTCACAATGTGCTGTATAATTAATGAAACTATTTTAAGAATGGAGATATGATCAAAAGTTACCACTACATGAGGATGCACAAATGGGACCAATTTGATATGTTATTAAATTTGACTTTCTTCAAATAAAAAAAAAAATCGAGCTAAGTTTTTAGTTTATAAATTTGAATTTGATTCTATATTATACAATAATTTATATTTGGCAATTTTCGACTCTTTTCTCTTTATTTTTTTTTTTCATGTTTTTGTTATCTATTATGATAAAACTATATTGTTTGAATGTAGTAAGTTCTCCTATGGTAGGATTTGTACAAAATGTTTTTTTTAATAAAGATTTGTGAGGCTTGGAAAAGAGGTTAATCTTTCAATTACAATTAGACGGGAATCATTTTTACAACAGCTACAATAGCAATAGACCCTTTTGTTGGAGAAGGCTGCAAAATGCAACGATATAACAAAGAATATGAAAATGTTTGATATGCAATAACAATCGTAGCTTCGGTGAAGGAAAGTTTTTATTTGATTCAATTTTTATTATATATGTTAGATTTAAATCTCTTTGTGAATGTCACATGACTTCTTATAATTTTTTTTCAAAAAAAGAATATGTTATAATTGAGCATGAACCTAGGTCATTACTTGAATTTTCCCTTAATTGGTAGGATATTGGTTTTGGTCCTTTTTAACCTTATAGAATTTGATAATTTGATATTAGAAATTCACAAGTTTTTATATATGACCACTTCACATATAATTGAGTAATAGGAGTTATTAGAAAGAAAAATGGGGTTACTTTATGGATAAGGATTACTCTAGAATGAAAATAAGGTTACTTTCATATTTAAGTAAATTCATTTTTTAGAAGAATTAAAAAATTATCTTTTCATATAAAGAATTATTAAATATAACATAATATTAATATGGGTACCTAATTAATATTTCCTCCGTCTCATATTATAATGTGTATTTCTATTTTATTAGCTACAAAACTTTGACTAAATATTGTCAATATAACCATTGGCTCACGTACCTAAAAAAAAAAAAAAAAAGAGAGAGAGAGAGAGATATCTATAGATTCGTTTCATTGTGTTGTTTTTGTAATATCAATTTTTTTAATTTTTTTTAATTACATTATCAAAGATATTGATTATTAAAACTTAAAACTATGTTTTAAAGGATGTGATAAACAAAATACGGATTAAACATTATATTATAGAACGGATGAAGTATACCTGATCAAAGTTGGTCTGACCCAGTTAGCCCAACCCAAAAATGTTTGGCAGAATTTCAACAACCTATAATTGCATTTTTTTTAATTAAAAAGTTAATTTCAACTCAATTTTGGCCTGAAAACCAATTACTTACCGTTAACGTTAAACAACGATTTTGAGCACGATTTTTCCTGCTCAAATTTGCTCTTGGCCCAAAGCCTTGGCTCGAAACGAACCACTGTTTCGACATGACCCAACCCAGCCCAAACCGTTCACACATCTACGAATATTTTGTTATTATTACTATTACTTTTACGAGGAATGAATAATGCAAAAAGTCAAACTATCTTGACAGATGGTAATTAAAAAATACCGTAAAAAAACGTCAAATTGTAATCAGTTGGCACATCAGCACATGCAATTCTGCAAAATTGGAAGAAGAAAAAGAAAAGAAATGGTGGGCGAAGAAGAGTAACAGTAACCTCTGTGAAGTTAAATGGAGAGAGGAGAAGAAGAAGAGAGAGAAAGTAATAAAACCAGCTTTTCCAAAACCCAAGAATACTAAAGCATCTGTCTTTTCCTTTTTACCTTCTCTCTCCTCCTTTTCTTTTCATTCCTTCCCCTTTGTTATATTTATATGGTAGGGTGAAATTATTTACAAAATTAATTAATAAATAAAAATAATTCTGGGTTTGCTCCTTTAGATAGAGATAGCAGATCTACTACTACTCAGACACTACGTCGCTACTTACTTAGTCCTACTCTTGTCTCACTCTTCTTCTTCTTTTTATTAAATTTATTTTAGAAAATATTGATAATTTAATTTGGAGAAATGTTCATCAAATTTTGAGTTCTGCAGTTGAATTGTGTTTTTAAAATGGGGTCGGAGCAAAACAGATTTCCACAGCAAGAGCGGGTAATCCCTTTATCAATCTATATCCTTTTTTTCTTATTTTTATTTATTTTTTTTCGTTGTTAATTTCAGATCTGATTTTGTTCATTTTTTCCTGATTTTCCCAGATGTACATTTGCATTTTGTTGTTTTGTATTTATTTTTGGTAAATCATCAATTATCATTGTTTTTCTGTAAGAAAACCCAGAATTCTTGCCTATAAATCCCTTTTAACTTTTTTTTTTTTTTTTTTTTTTTTTTTTGAGGAGATGGGGTTAAATGTAGGTAAATGCACATTAATAATTATAATAATTCCAGTAAAGATAGATATAATCTTCTGCTTTTGAAGTTGATGGAGAGAATTTTTTAAGGGGATGATTGGAATTCTGGATTTTGCTTTGTTTAAGTATTATTAAACCATCATTTCTTACTGATTTTGTTTTGCTACAGAAGATGCTGATTACTGCTTCCCTTTTTTTGATTTTTGGTTTAATTGCTTTTTAGTAACCTTTCTGGGCATCCTTAACGTCTGCTTCACTCTTCAATCAGAGTTGCGGTCATTGATCGTATTTTATTGCACTGATACTCGTATACTGTTTTCATTGATTGTGAGAATGAGATTAGGGAAAGATATAATGTAGTTAGGATGTTTAAAAATTATGCAGCAATGAATAATGTACGTCACCTTTGTGTTTTATGGCTGTAATAACTTTAAGAATTCAGTGTTATATGAGTGACAATAATCTTAATTCTTACTAAATCGTAATCTTCAAATACAAAATGATACTCCGATCCGTGTCGAACAAGCTCATTTATCGTCTATGAAATTTATATGCCCATATCTTGTATTGTTTGTGTAAGGTAATTGAACTGTGGTGACTCGATTTTCAATTCTAACCCATTGTTATTCTTCTCAGCGCAAGAAATGGGGAGGATGTTGGGGTGGACTCCCTTGTTTTGGAGCTCAGAAGGGTGGGAAACGTATTGTACCATCATCTCGTACACCTGATGGCAATGCAGCTGCAAACGAGCCCAATGGATCGCAGGGTGTTGGATTACCTAACCAACCTCCTTCATTGCCTCCACATCTTCTTGCCCCTCCCTCTTCTCCAGCTTCCTTCTCAAACTCGGCTCTTCCTTCAACTGCTCAATCACCGCGCTGCCACCTCTCGTTGTCTGCCAATTCACCTGGGAACCCTTCCTCCACTATGTATGCAACTGGGCCATACGCTCATGAAACCCAACTGGTTACTCCCCCTGTCTTTTCAACCTTTACAACAGAGCCATCAACTGCTCCTTTGACCCCTCCCCCAGAATTGGCTCACCTAACAACACCCTCTTCTCCTGATGTCCCTTATGCACAGTTCCTTTCGTCATCTGGGAAGGTCAATTATGTGCCTTCTAATGATCTTCAAAACACCTACCCGTTCTCTCCTGGAAGTCCTGCTAGTAGTCTTAGATCGCCTATTTCAAGAATCTCAGCTGACTGTTTATCTTATCCAGAGAGGGATTCCTGGGATGCTTCCCTTTCTCCTGGAGGTGCAAAACATCCAAGAAATGCTTCAGGAGGATGGCATACTGACAGCGGCGCTCAATCTCAGACTTCAAACTTTTTCTGTCCTGCAACTTTTGCTCAGTTTTATCTGGACCAACCGCATTCTGGTGGGAGACTAAGTATTTCTAAAGAGTCAGATGCCTACTCTAATGGAGCTGTGAATCAGAGCAAGCAAAACAAGAACAGCAAGCAAGAAGTGGAGGAACTGGAAGCTTACAGAGCATCTTTTGGGTTTAGTGCTGATGAAATGATCACTACTACTCAGTATGTGGAAATATCTGATGTCATGGATGAATCATTCACCATGGTACCCTGCACCTTTAACAAGCCACATGTAGAAGAAGTAACACTACTAAATTGGGGACGTGTGGGATCAAGAAAGTCAGAGAATAACTCTCCTGGTGATAAATTAACAAAGTCAAGGTCAGATATGAGTGGCAGAGCTCGACAGGGGACAGTTTCATCCAAACAATTTGAAGGTAAGTTATATTTTTTCATGCCTACAATAGTTAATTTAAATTGATATCTGCACTGCATGTGATATAGGCAAATAGTGCACCACTTCTATGGGTGGTTAAATGGAGTAACAGGTCTGTGGAGATTTGGTCTTAGGTATCCTTCCTTTTCATGATCATGCAGAAAAAAAAAGGGAACGTGTACAAATATGGTAAAATATACAATTATGATCATATCCTCTCAGGCTCTCATCATTAAAAGAGATAAATCCCTAAATTTTATATAAAATATACTTTTCTCATATATTTGATGTTTATTGTCATCTCCTTTTGTTGGTGACAGTATCATAATAATCTCTCCGTCCCAAAAGGACAGCTTTCTTTGATATTTGCTCCAACATGTCGAGGTCTCTTTGAATACTTATATCTAGGAGTTAGTCGAGAAGTTCTCGTAATAAATTTTTTTTAACACAATCAAATTGGAGTGGCAAAAAAGCATAGACATTATGTGTTAGAGGGAGTAGATTTATATTAGGTTTATTCAGGGATATATTCTTCCTCCGTGTTAGCTGTTTTTATGAGATAAATTACTGACGATTTGTGGCAGGCCACAAGCCTCATATCTCCAAATCTCCAATATGATTTTCAAATACCTTGGTCATTTTGGCAAAGCTAATTTGCTTTTCCTAACTTTCATTTTCCCAATATAAAATACCCTTTCTATTGTGCATCTAATAACATTGGCCTAACCCTAAAAGGCCACCATTGCTGTCAAAATTCAAGACAATAACTTCTTGTGTTATAAGGAAAATTCACTGGAAAAGGGATATGTTGTGAAAAAGACTAGTTCACTGTTTTGGTTGTTGAATTGGTTTTATGGGTGAGAAATAGATGAAGCTGGTATATGATGTATAAAAACACTCTTTTGTTCTCTTAATGCATTAACATGCAGTTTCAGACCTAAAATTTGGCTTAAAAAAAAAAAAAAAAAAAAAAAAAAAAAAAAAAAATATGATGAAGCTTATTATATGAAACAGTGATCACTGTTCCCTCTCCATGTTTCTTTTTGGTTCGATTATCGATAAAAGGGATAGGGGGAGGGGGCAAGGAGAATGAACTATGAAGGAAGCTATTACAGGAAAATGAAGAATGATTGGTGACCCGGTCAAAAGTATGGTTTATTTGTAATCTGCAAATTTTGATTATTTTAAGGTAGGTAAGGGAGTGAGAATATATTAGTCATAAGAGTAGTAGTAGACTAGTAGTTGTGGCATTGATTTGTAATCCTACAACATTAGTGTTTACAATATTAAAATCTTTTTGTTTCAAAAAAAATATTTAAATCTTTTCTTTTCCTTTTTTCTGCTCTTATGTTGTCTTTCTTGCTGTTTAAAGTGAAATCAACAAAAATAGAATAAAAAGCTCTTTAAGATGCATCACAAAATTTCCAAATGTTTTATTGATTAATGATAATTATTCTTTTTCTTATTTAGTACTTGTTTTCCTAATCTGTTGAGATATTGAACATCTCCATTTCTACTTCCCTTGTCCATTTTGTGCAATATAGTTGTTCCGTTCCCAACAATGTTATGTGCTGTTATAACCTGGATTGTAAGACCCTCCTTTGTTTTTGGGTTTCAACTTTTTTGGGCTGGGTTGAGGGTTTAGGATTAATGAAATTAAGGTACACTAATGATTGCAATTAACGTCATGAGATCACATAAGCAGCACCTTGTGATTGTTACATGATTTCTTGCAGCCATCATTTAACAAGTCATCATGGTATAAATCAAATCAATTCATCGAAGTTTTTGAGCATGTAATTGGATTATACTTGAATATAAACTTCTTAGTACCTGAAATAATTTATTAATCTTTATTGATTGAGGTTTTTACATAACAACTAATGAAGGGAACACCTCAATTTATTTTCATGGTTAGAGTAGTATACACAATAGCCTGCGAGAGCTGTTGCTTAGCCGATCTTTGCCAAGATTTGTTTAGAACAAAAAAATAAAAATAAACTGAAGCATGCAGCATGCTTCTTAAAATATATGAGGCTTTGCCAATTGATTGGGTTTTGAGATGCTATTCAGAATGATATTTGTTCAGTGGTTTGGTTTAAGGTTGGACTGAATTCTCCTAATTGGCAGTGTCACGTTACTTGTCTGGAGAAAAATATATATAGATATAGGAAAAGTCTGAGTTTACGTCTTCTAGCCTGTTGAGGATCTTACTTTACCATTGATCGATTTCTCCTCTTTCCTTTTACTTCAGTTGTACCCATCCTTCCTTTTCCTACTTGACATGGTTACTTGATTGGGAGATTTGGGACAGGAGTTGTCTTTAGCACAGACTCTTGATATGTGCCAAACATGGCAGGTCCAACTCTTTCTTTAATTGAAACTACGCAGATACTTCTGAATCAAGATCCATACTTGTTTTTGTAAGTTCTTTTTGTTCTATAATATTGGGGTCCTCATTCTGGTGGTGGTGGTGGTGTTAGTAAAGGCATTTCATGTTGAGGTTATTTACATAGAAATAGTGATTGGGAGAAGGCTGTATGTAGCCTATTGGTTGACAACTTGAGAGTTTTTCATGTACATGTATGCTGAACAGTGGCGGGGACAGGGGAAGGAGAATTCCTTGTATCCGTATGTGTTTGCTTTGATGAATAATTTAACTAGTACCCTTTTGTAGCTTGCTATTACTACTGTACAATTCTTGAGCCAGTCTTTACTCTTTAGATATTTAGGTGTGTCACATAACTTATCATTTCATTGCCTAATATAGCAGTTTATTTATGCTGATTTTAACTGTCATCATTTCATGATTCAGATGAGCAACCTGGAAATGTCTCTGGTCGGAGTACACCAAGCAACCGTAATTTGACGGATGATGAAGAGATGTTTTCAAACATGGGGAAATCCAAAAAAAGCAGGAAGGTAAATATGGGTCTTTCTTGCTCGGATGCAGAGATTGAGTATAGGCGAGGGAGGAGCTTGCGAGAAGCTAGAGGAGATATCACATGGCATTAGTTTTTAGTAGTTAGCTTCCGAACTGGTTATGTCCTCAGCTTCCAAACCCCCAGAATCTGGTGGCAATGTCTTCTAATCTGGCTCGAGTGTTTTTGTAAGTGTCAGCAGCATGAGTCTAATTTGTAATCGAGCTTAGCCTCTCTTATATAGGTGACTTGATGTTGTGCATTGTCGACATCTATCGGTCTAGGTTTTGCAAGTTGGTGTGCCCTGCCTCTTTTTAGCTTTTAGTAGCTGGTGTGGGAGAGTTGTGATAGGCTGGGTTTTCTCGCAGTCAGTTGTAAGAAGCGAGATACTTGGAATTGTTCATATTTGAAGATAGTTGAAATTGGTTATGCATCTAGACCTAATACTGCTAATATAGTAATATGTATATTGATATTTCATTTACTCCTGTTTTTTCCGTTGTCAAATCTGTTTTTCAAGTCCAATTTTGCAAGTGCGACTATTTTCATTAAATTTATTGAGAAACTGGTAGTTTCATTCCATTGCACTATGCGGGCGGCCTGGCAGCGTGAAATTGTGAATATAGGTGTGTGCAGCGCGCCATTTACCTGATGGCCAGGTAGCTTTTGTTGGTGAGGTGGCCGATTTTTTCTGATCATGTGGCTGATGTTTGTGGGGAGAGTGTTGTAAAATAAAACCCTCTGATTTTTGGAGAGAATGGTACTGGTAGAGCTGGTTATTGGGTAGGGTAGCCTAATGATAATAGGGTCAGGGCCAAGTTTAAAGGGTTTTTAATGGACAGAGCCTTTAACGGACAGTGCCCTTATTGGGTAGGGTCAATATAGGGCCAAAATGTTTTTCCAATTTAATAGACAAACAAAATAGATAATGTAAAAATAATTACATAGATAAATTTGTATTCATATATACTTAATAATGGCTTTGTTCAAAATTTATTTTAATTGATATTTTGTTGGCCCGTCCATTATCGACCCGCGACCCGCATGGGCCCGACCCGCTATTGACCCTATAAAATATGACTCTCTTTGACCCTACCCACAATTGACCCGCACCGACCCTGACCCGACCCGCCTAATAACCAGGTCTTATTGATTCTCTAGAATCAAGATGGGAGTGTTCTGAAGCATAAAGGTTATTCTATAGACTACACGCTATATAATACAAGTGAGATTGAATTTTAAAGATTCAAACTTAAAAAGTTTTGGAGCATGAGGTTATTCTTTCCATCCTTGATTGAATAATTTCTCTTTATAATACAAAAAAATGCCTAAGTTCCTTAATACAATACTTTTACAAAAGTTTTCTTACATATTGTTTATGTTAGCATCTATAACTATATACTACGGTCCCGTTCACTTCACCTAATTTTTGCTGAACTGAAATTATTTTTACTGAACTGAAATTAATTTTACTGAACTGAAATTATATTTGTTCAACTGAATTATTTTTACGGATTTTCTATTATATTTCTTCTTTAAAGTTATTGAATTTTATTGAACTGAACTTATTTTTACTGAACTGAAATTATTTTTACTGAACTGAACTTATTTTTACTTAACTGAAATTATTTTTACTTAATATTATTTTTTTAAGACTTAATATTATTCTTTTAAGGTGAAGTGAACAGGGCCTAAAAGTTAATAAAAAGTGACACATGTCAACATTTGGTTAAAAATTTTCACTCCAAAAAGTTTTTTTTTTTTTTTTTTTCTTGCCAAAGCATCTTAGGAAAAATTTAATTCACTAAATTTTTTCTTCCTATTCCAAATCTTTCCACATCTTTAATATTAAGAAATATATAATTTCAACAAAATGTAATGCAATCTTTTCATCGCAAATCAATAAGTCTTTTAGCAACTATTTATAGAAAAATAAGCAGATATATTATTAACAAAAAAATATTCATATTGTATATCATATGAATACAACCTAAAATTTACTTTTTAGAAAATTTTAACGAATATGAAACTTTATTGTAAACAAAATTGTTGAGTTATAAATTGTTGTAAATTTTTATAAAATATTGTAATATCGTGCGTTGCATGGGACTTAAACTAGTGTTTTGTAATTAGCAGATTAATCAATGATAAAAGCGCTACCTCAATGAATTGTATGCAGTACATATGAGTTCGAATCTTTCAAGGTTAATGTAATTGGGGGTGAGGATTCTTTTACCTTCCTCCGTACTCCCTAAGTGCTTGACCAATAGATACTATTTATTTTTCCTTTTTTGAGTATCCTCCATCTAGTTCACCAGAGCTTACTCCGATTACATCTAGATCCGACCAGGATCGCACACCTGACTTATGGTAAGTGAGTATCCTTTGAGACCTCCCTTAAGCGACATCAAAATGCTTATCACTTGAGCTATCTCTTGATTAACGAAAAAATTGCTATTTTTTGAGTAAAGATGGGTTATCTACACCAATAGTAGTTTCACTAAACCGCTATTATCGATTCATTTACTATAAATAGCGGTTTGTTAGATTGAAATGTGTATTTTGTGGGGTTTGTAACATTTATTTTACTCTCACTCTTTGGAGTTTGGACTAGTAAAAAAGAGGAAATACTTCCGAGTAAAATTTAACTCTCTTCTCAAAATGAACAAAGTTGTTGATGTCTAAAACGGTGATACAGAGCTACGCCTTGAAAATGTTGAAAATGCTGGATTTCCGATTAAGCCGGCGGAGTTTGCGGCGGTGTCAGGCGGTGGTTATCCTCCACAACAACATTTGCTGCTTCTTTTTCACCGGCGCCGCCGCCAATATCGATGCTCAGTCTCCCGTAACCCGAATTGCTTTCGGTTCAGGCTCCAATCAAACCAATCCTCAGGTTTTTTTCTCTTTTTCTTTCCTTTTATAGATTAGTGGTACCAAATACTAGTAACACTTAGAATTTGAATTGGAATGCAGATCATATGGAATGCAATCAATGATTTCAACCCCCAATTATTCATTTGGTTGGGTGATAATATTTATGGTGATAATAAGCGCCCTTTTCGATTATTTGGTAAGCAACGCACTTTTGGGCCTTGGAAAAATGTTCCCAGGTTTTATCCTTCTTCTGAACTTGAAATGCAATCTAAGTTTAACTTGGTTAAGACCCATCCTGCCTACTCTCGTCTTCGTAACCGTTCCGAGGTATATATAGTCTTCCCTTTGTCCCGAATTTATTAATATGGACTAGTTGCTTATACTATTTTGGGATGTTCGGGAAAATAGTAATTGTGCATACATTGTAGATTATTGGCACATGGGATGATCATGATTATGGATTGAATGATGCTGGTAAAGAGTTCAGTGGCAAGGACATCAATCAGAGGCTGCTGCTTGATTTTTTGGATGAGCCTGTGGATAGTCCCAGGTGAATTTGTGCTTACAATTACATTATACATGTGTTTAATTGTTTTTGTGGGTTTTGATGCATAATCTTTGTCACATTGTTTGCTAAATTGACACAATTTATCGATTTTGACTCTCTTTTACTACGATATCTGCATGTTGTCTGTGACTCATTACCAAAACATATCACTTAATTCATGACCTTATATTGAGTTGTAAACTTTTAATCTTATAAATTTATGGTTGTTGCATCGGTTGTTTACTAACAGGAGAAAGCAAGCTGGTGTTTATACGTCCTACACATATGGCCCTATTGGTAAGCAAATTAAGGTATGCCTTGTTTATCCCCTAGTAGGTGTCATCATGTAGTCTTTAAGCCAACAGACAGTGGTATTTGCATTGCGATTGTAATAAAATCTAGTTCCTCTTACCATCAATGATTAATTACCTTAACAAGAGGAGTTGTCAACTTACCCCCCGCTTCCTTTGGCCACTTGGAAGCACTTCATATTTTTTATGTGACCTTCTTTCAGAAGTTTTTCTTTTGCTTATGAAATTGAGCTAGTGTTGTGAAAGATGTTGTAAATCTAGTAATCAACAGCCTATGCGAATTCCTTTGACTTGTGAATCTCCTTATCATGTTCACAAGAGATGTATAATTGTATACATATATGGACCATGGTCCTTATCATGGTCATGCACTATAACCTTTGGAAGTTTTCTAATATGCTTCAACATTAAGTCCAAACAATTTGCCACACATAAATTCTAATAGAGACGTGGTCTTTGACCTATAGTGATTTTCCTAGAAATGTACTAAAATCGGACATTAATTAATCAAATGATGAAATTTATTGTAAAAAGTAAGAATTTTATATCTACCCACCTTAACAAGATTAGATACATGTCTTTAACGTCGCCATTTGAATTAACTTTAGCATTTGAACTTCGTCAACCATGTCATTAAGGTTTTGGAATAAAAAGGATGCCTACTTTTCTTATTCTCCTCCAATTTCTTATGCGTGTCTTCTACTAAATGGATTTTTTAAATAACTAAATAAAAGGTAGGGCTTACCTTCTACCTTTCATGAAGATCTAACTTTTAGGTCACTTCATTAACCTTTTCAACATCCTGGAAGGGACTGTCATACCATAACTTAAAATCAGGGACTGTTGCGCGGTTGCGCCGCCTTATTGCTAATTTTCTTCTAATTTTGGGGCATAAGTTTCAGTGCTACTATGTCCTCAGTGTTGAACTCAAAGTGCACTTGCCTTGATGGTGAGGCGCCTCCTCTAATTGTCTCACATTTCTTCCTTAGTTGCATATAACTCGTCGCAAAGTGACGTGTGTTAGCCAACATCCTTACTTTGGTTGGTAACTTTATGTGGCACATGGAGTTTCCAACCAATTCGAAAGGACTCATTCCTGACGCAGAAGTGTGAAGCAGTAACATAATGGCACAAACACTCCTTAGATCTTTAATAGGTCATTGATATGCTCCGTATGACTGTAGTTGATGACCTGTCAGATAGTTCTTAAATCTGATCCCGTTATATTAAACAATGTAGTCCTACAGCGCCTAATAAAGTTGGTATCACAATCACTAATGATGTCCTAAGGCAGATCAAGTCCAAAATACTTCAAGAAATAAATTTGTTACGAATGCTACCTCTGCTGCTGAACACGTATCATAGGCCCTGAAATAAATACATCATATGTTGAAATTCAATCAATCATTACCATTACGAAACACTGCCCGTTCATATTAGAAAATCCAGAAATAAAATTCATAAAGTGACACCCATGGCTTCTCTGAAACAAATTACACTCGGGACTAGACCAACCTCTTTCATGCTAATCTTTATTTAACAGATACCCATGACAAGATTTCACCTATGCCTCCATTTTTACCTACCCCCTGGAATTTCAGCACGTCCTTTCCTGACCAGTATGACCAGCCTGAACATCATGTATTGATCTCAATGATTCGTGATGTACTTGCCTGAAAGAGATGTATAATCGTTCTCGTTGTGCCAAAAGCAGCCCATTCTGTGTCGAGTATCTTTGTATCCATTCTTGACTCGGTCAC